AACTCGGGTATTTAAATGGTGAGTGGAGCGGGCAGCAGGAAGGACTAGGTCTCGCGTGGAGCACTCCAGGCATAAAAGCAAATGCAGAACTCATGCTCCGAAGGACAGAAAGCTACGTTCCCGTCCCCCTGGCTGCAGAGAAGGTAGAAAGCTAAGTGACGGGTGTCGTGACCAGCAGTCGGGATGTTCAGGCAGCTGTCAGTATCCAGCGGAACTGGACCACCAGCCAAAGAAATAAGCCTTTTCCGGAGTCAAGAGTTGCTCCTGGTTTAAAAAAGACAAAACAAAACAAAAAACCAACCACACACACAAAACAAACAAACAAAAAACAACCACCACAAAACACCTCTCTGGGGGTGGCAATGGAGGGGGGCAGTGGAAGATGGCGGGGGCGGAGGGGTTGGGGAGGGTGCCCTGCGGCTCGCGGGCAAACCAGCCTTCCCCTCCGCGGGAGCCCGGGGGCGCGCGCCCCCCGCGCGGAGCCGGACACGCGGCCGCCACCCCGCGCGCGCCCCGCTGCCCCCGCCCCCGCCGCTTCCTCCCGCGCCCCGGCCCCCGCCCCCCGTGCGGTGACGTCAAAATTCCGCGAAAAAGCCGCGTGGTGGCTCCGCGAGCGGAGCAGCGGCCCCCTCCCGGGGCGCCCAGGGGCGAGGCGGGGGGGGGCGAGGGGCCGGAGGGGCCGTTCCTGTCCTCCCCGGAGGCAGGGCCGCCCTCCGCCCCAAATCGGGTTGGGAAATTTACTTCTATGAAGCGAATGCGCTTCCAGAGCTATTTTCGGCCACGTGAGGCGTGTCCTACCGCTGAATCAGACAGGAAGAGGGGGAAGTTCGGGTCTTTTTACTGTTTGTTTTCTAAGAGAGGGCAGAGAGATGCGAGGTGGGCGAAGGGACGGCTGCGCCCTGCCCAACCCACGCCAATCACAGTGCAGCCCCGGCGCGCGGCCCGGGCCGGAGCTGCAGGCCCCCCGCTGTGCCTCCGACTGCGCCCCCCAGTGTGCCCCCGCAGGACCCCGAGCTCCCGGGGACGTGGCGGGTGAGGGCGGCGGCGAGAGCGCCCCCGGAAGCCTGTTCACACCTGGAATTGCCTTGCCCAGGTTTCGGGGGGACTCCCGGCCCCTGGTTCCGAACCACCCACCCACCTTCCCCTTTGTTCTCCAGTTGCCGACCTTTTCGTCTTTTACTTTCACACTTTTTTTTCTAGTTTATTCTTACTCTCTTTTTATTCTCTCCCCTCACACACACAAAAAATTATCTTTCTATACTTCTTGCCGTTCCTTCCCGGTATTCCCGAGGCCCGAAGCTGGAGCTGGGACTTATTGCCGTCCACTTTGAAGTAACTGTCGGGTTTTCGGTTTTGGTTGTCTGACCATCCATCCCTCCAAGGAGAAGCACACAGACCGCTCTGCCCTTCGGGGGAGGCAGGGGAGGGCGACGGCCCCGTCCCTGAGCCTGAACTCAGCCCCTTCCTCCACCCCGGCCTGGCAGCCCCAACGCGGAGGCACCGGGGCTCGAACTCTCGGGACTCCACAGCTTGGAGGCTCCGGGATCACCTGGAGGGCGGGCATCTGCCGGGCTAGCTGGGGAGTCTGTGTGTTTAGCGTTGCAAGTTCCTGCAGAAATGTGTCTATAAACACCCAACACCTGGCTGCACCCTGCACCTACAGGGTTTTGTACACTTTCCAACCGAAACTCCAAAACGCTAGGAGTAGGAAGTGGGGAGCCCGCAAGGGAGGGACTTAAAAAAGACTTTTAAAACTTGCATTTGCTCAAGTTTATCACTGATCCTACAAAGGACAGGGCGTGGGGTTCCCTCCCCCCGCCTTGAGGGGTGAAAAGATGTAAGGAAGAACCAACATTTTTTTTTCTTTCTTTTTCCTACCACCCCTCCCCAAGCGCCCAGTTTTTACTTCGAAGCCTCAGCACAGGCGCCTGATTTTTCTCTCAGAGCAAGTCTTCACTTAGAGAAAACGCGCGCTGCTGCCCAGGAGGCAACACGCTTTCCCCCCACGTGCGGGGCGGAGAGCTGCTTGCCCAGCAGAAGTAAGGCTTTAACACGTGGTCTGAGCAGCCACCGAAGGGAAAGTCGGCTTCCAGTCCAAGCCTCTCCGAGGCATTCCTACCAACCTCCGCACCCTCCCGCGCCCCACCCCGCGAGTGGGGGAGACTGAACCGGGATTGGGGGCGCTGATTCGCTGCGAAGTTGACGTTCAGGAGCAGTCCGTATAGGAAGGGGAAGTAAATGAGGGAACTTGCAAAGGCGAGACCTGTGAGCTTCCGAACCTGCGGGTCCCGGTGAACTGAGAAGGGGGGTCTCCACTCTCGCCCCGCCCCACCGCAGCCACCTCTGCCCCCGCCCGCTCCCCGCTGAATTCCTCCCCAAAGCGGGACTGGGGTAGGGGCAGGGGTAGGGCAGAGGGAAGGGGCGAGAGGGCCGGAGACTTGAGGGTTCGCCACCCGTGGTGTCTCCCCAGGGTGGGCGAGACCCGGAGGTAGACCACCCGCCTCTTCCCCGCCCCCTCCTGGGGACCAGGGCTGGGGACGCTTTTTCTGCCAGAGGGATGGGTAGGGGTAGGGGTAGCAGTGGGGGTGGAGGGTGGAGAGAGAACCCCTCTCGATTAGTTATCAAGTGATGTCAAGAGGCTGGAAGCCCTCCCTGGCTTCCGGTCCTTGCCTGTCGGGGTAGATTTATACTTTAAAAATACCTCTCCCAGCACCCCCCCACCCCCACCCCGCAGCTTTCTTTGATCTGCTCAAAGGCGGCTACGTTTGAGTTTTTCCCTTTATGGGGGTCTTCACATGTAAGTTAGTGTATTTACCCGGAGTGACTGACTCAAAGTTGGAGTCGGGAAGTCCAAGTTGAGCAAAATCAATAGGTGATTGTTAGGGACCGACTCTACTCCGGGGAACAAGCACCCGATGTCATCGCTTTGAGCTGGTCCTCCTCGACTGTTTCATTTTGAATTTGCTACTCGGGTTTTTCAGTACGCTTTTTTTTTTTTCTTCTTCCCTAAAACTAATGGCTTCCACAGCAATTAGTCATTTTCCTCGCCCGCCCCGCCCCTCCCCTCTCCGTACAGTAGATGGAACACCAGTTCCCGAAGCTATTGATAAGGACCGAGGCGCCCGGCCTCTGCCCAGCCTCGCCCGCGGGCCCCGCTCTCCCTCCGCCCAGCCTAGGCTTCCTTTTGATGTAGCGAAGAACCCTTCCTACCAAAAGGAAAAAAAAAAAAAAAAAAGAAAGAAAAGAAAAGAAAAAGAAAAGAAAAAAAAAAAAGTAATCTGCCCGGTAACAATCAGCGCGCAGTAGCAGGAGCCCCAGAGCCATTGGCTATGCAAATAGAGGGAGGGGAGACGGCGCCCCAAACTCTTACACACCCTTTTAAAGCGATATCCCCTCCCCCGGCCCCTTCCGCCCCACCCTCGTTTAGGGGCCGGCCCCCGGCCTGAATTAATCGCTAGCACCTCTGGTTTTATTCAATCCCTGCCACCTCTATGCCACCACCCTCTCCACCCCTCCCTTCAGGGAACGGCGTTAGCTGCTCACCCAGCCTACCCCCTCCCCCCCCCACCACCACTTGCTCTCCACACCCCGGTTCGGGGCCCCAGTTCTCGGTAAGGGCGGCTCTCGGTAGAGACGGCCCTCGGTGGGTCCAGAACCCCGACCCACGCCAGGCTCCCTGCACGTGCCAGGTCGGCTCGCACGCTGGGTTGCGGGGCTCACTCCCCTTCCTCCCGAAGCGCAGTGACACACAGAGGCAGGGCAGGGGTGGCGAGAGGAAGGAGGTGAGGAAACGCCACCATGTCCCTTGCGAAAGCAGCCAAAGCAGCCAGACCCGAGGATGCCTGTGAGCACGTGTCCCCGCCGACCGTGCGGGCAGCATCCCAGGTCCCCGCCGCAGGACCGCTCCCGGAGAGGACGCCTGGCGGGCGGGCGAGGCGCGACTCCGAGGGGTCTGCGGGGGTGCGGACGCAGGGCGGCGGTGGAGGCCAGGGACCTCCGGGGAAAGCACAGGGTGGCATTAGCACCGGGGTAGGGAGGGTGAGCTCCCCCCTCCCTCCCCTCCCCTCCCCTCCCCTCCCCCTCCCGGCTATTTCCTAGAAAGCTGTATCAGTGCGGCCACGCTCGGCGCAGACACCTCGCCCGGCTTGTCGCAGAGGCCGGGGCGCGGAAGCGGGTTTCTACTGCGTGGCCGCCGGCCGCGGGGGGCCCGTGGCAGCCCGTCCCAGCCCCGCCCGCCGCAGCTCCGGGCGCCTCGCCCTGGCTCCCAATAGCGCCCCCGAGAACAGGCCGGTTGCAGCTCAGGGTCACATTCTACCACGTCGGAGAGGCTGCCTCCTCCCTCCTGCCCCCCCCCCCCTTCCTCGCCACACACTCGGTGTGCGTGTGCAGGCGGGCGGGGGGGGGGGGGGTGCAGAGAGGACGCTTTTCTGGTCCCTTTGAGTGGGCTTTTGAAACACCTTAGAGATGATCAAGAACTTAAGATATATAACCTGTGTCTCTGGGTATGCGAGGTAGCAATTTTTCTGGAATCGCACTCCTTTATTTTTTTACTTAAGGGGTCTATTTCTAAATTGTGTCCCCGTCTCCAAGTAATCTGCCCCTCATTCCTGGGTCTTCCATACATGGGCAGGAGTGACAGGATGAGTTTTGAAGAATCCAAAATTGGAGGGTCGCACTTTGGTAGGCTACATCGACAGCGTGTGCGAAATTAGAGGGAATCAATAAGAGAATCAGTGCTTTTTGGTGGGTTCCCCTATCCGGGGCCCCTGGCATGCGGGGCTGGATGGAGGGAGAGCGTCTCGGAGAGCTGGGGGGGTGGGGGGGCAGACCGCGTTTGAAGTTAGGTCGGGCCAGCTGCTGTTCTCCTTAATAACGAGAGGGGAAAGAAGCGAGGGAGGGAGGGAGAGATTGAAAGGCGGAGGGGAGGGCCGGGAGGGGAGGGAAGGGGAGGAGGAACCGGAGAGGGGAGCGCGGCGAGAGGGAGGAGGACTGCCCAGCCAGTTTGCGTCACCGCCTCGCAGAGCAGAAGAGGCGAGCGAGCTGGGGAGAGCGAGACAGTCCGGAGGGGAGGAGAGGCAGAGTCTGCAGACCCCCGCGGCTCTCCTCTCCACCACCCATCCCTTTCCTCTCTCTCCTCCCTCGGCTTCCCTCTCTGCCCTTACCATTCCCCCCGACCACCACCCCACTTAGCCAGAGCAAAAAGGTTAAGGGGAGCCCTTTCCCTTCCCCCCCTTCAAAAAAAAAACCAAACTTTTCCAGTCCGAGAGAGAAAGCGGGGGGACCGAGCGGGCACCCCGCTGGCCATGGAGCTGCTGTGCGGCGAGATGGACCGGGTCCGCAGGGCCGTGCCCGACGGCAACCTGCTGCGCGACGAGCGCGTCCTACAGAACTTGCTCACCATCGAGGAGCGCTACCTCCCCCAGTGCTCCTACTTCAAGTGCGTGCAGAAGGACATCCAGCCCTTCATGCGCAGGATGGTGGCCACCTGGATGCTCGAGGTAAGTCCGCGGACACGTTCCGCCTGTCCCCACCCGGAGGTATCTCTTCCCCCCACCACCCGCACCCGCACCCGCGTAGGGGGCCCTAAAACTGGGAGAGGAGGAAGATAGCCTCCGCTCCCGCCTCCCGGCTCCTGTGTTCGAGGTCCCCCCGCGCCCTTTGGCGAGACGCGTGGCCCCATTTCAGTCCCTTGCAAGATGCAAGATTCACTGTGGGGGAGGGGAGAGGATGGAAATCTGGGAGAAACGAGGCAGGCTCGGAGTGGGGGTGGGGGAGCATCCGCGCGCGCGTGTGCATGCATGTGGCTGCCTCTTCCCACCCCCATTCTGACCTGCCCTGTGCGCAGTTAAGACGAGAGACTAGGACGGTAAAATCGGGACCTAGACGTTTTTTTAAAAAGTAGCCCCCCGGCCCCCTACCCAGGCTAGAGCAAATTCGCCCTCGCCCCAGGTCCCCGCATGTGGTCGCGACTCCGCGTTGGCACTCACGGGGGGAGGGGGAGGGGGAGGGGGAGGAAGGAGAGGAACGGGGACTTGAGGAGCCCCGGAAGTCACACTGAAGAAGCGTGTGTTTTAGGGGGAGACCCAAAGAACCATGTCTTTATCCTTGCTCCAAATCTTGGCCGAGAGCAAGCCGTGTGCCCACGTATGCACAGCCCTGGACCTGCCGTGGTTTCGCCATGTTGCTTTGCAAAACTCGGGTTGGAAAGGCTAGAGAACGCCGCCCGCTCCCCCTCGCACCCCGTTATCGCTGCCGCCCCGCTCCTCCGGCCGCCCTCTCCCCCAGCCCGCAGGTCACAGCGGTTACTTACAGTTTGGCTTCCCAGTGTCCTCGGTGCGGAGATTTGGGTGGGGTGGGGAGGGGGGAGGAGGTGTGTGCAGGGGGGAGGTGGGGGCACCCCGAAAGAAGAGATCGGGGTCCCCGTGCCTCTCCGGCGGCTCCCGGGTCCTCTCGGTCCCCCAGCTCCTCACCACGTCCCCCGGTCTCTGCCCTTGTGGGCCGCGGCCGGACACTCCCGCCGCGGCTCTCACCCCTCCAAGTTTCCCCTCGGGATCCGAAGCCCCAGGGAGAGAGCAACGGACCTTTCCGGCACCCGAAACCTCTGTTTTGGGAAGCCTGGGTCCTCTTTGGGGTTTTCACGCCAAAAGGGCTTTTCTAGGGTATTTCCTCGATTTTTAATTATTTTTTGAAACCGTCCCCCCCTCGCTCCGACTCCTGCCGCCTCGGCTGCGGCGCTCTTCCTCCTCGCCGCCCTCCCCCTCCCTTCCCCACCTCTCCCCACCCACCCCCCCAATAGCGGCGCCTGGGCCGCGGGGACCCCCCGGGACAATTTTTCCAATTGTCGGGAATGATAGAGTAGAGTCTGAGGGTTCGAATGAGACCAAGAAGAAGACCCCCGGAGCCTCCAGAATATTTTTATTGATTTTTTGAAAAGATGACGAAATCCAAAAAAGAGAGTGAGTGAGTTAGAGTGAGGGAAGAAGTGAATAGCCAAATGGAGCGGCGTGAGGCTGCGGGCGGCGCTGCGGATTTCTTTGCCTCCCCCTCCTCAGCCAACCCCCGTTTTGGACCTTTAATTTCACCGTTTTTTTGTTTGTTTATTATGTTTTTTAAGGTTTCTGGAGAATCCCCCAGCACGGATGGGCTATTTAGATTTACCCCAATTTCCTCATTTCTATTCTTATCACATTCTACTCCCCTCCCCCACCCACAAAAAATTAAATATTTTTGTAATTTCTATAAATTATGCTTTTTCTTTTTTCTCTCTTTTCCTGATATTTTCTCCCCCCCTCCCCCCCAATTCTTTCCCACGTTGTAGGTCTGTGAGGAGCAGAAGTGTGAGGAGGAGGTCTTCCCTTTGGCCATGAATTACCTGGACCGCTTCTTGGCTGGGGTTCCGACCCCTAAGACCCACCTTCAGCTCCTGGGTGCTGTTTGCATGTTCCTGGCCTCCAAGCTCAAAGAGACCATACCCTTGACGGCAGAAAAGTTGTGCATTTATACCGACAACTCCATCAAGCCCGAGGAACTGCTGGTAATGTCTCCCCTCCCTCCCTCCCTTCGTGTCCCACTTCCAGCTCTCTCCTAGACTCTCCTGGTCTCCAAATAAATTTTTAGGATGCAGAATTACCCACCACCGGAACGTTCACACTTACAGGGAATATTTATTTTAATAAGATTTTTTGTGTGTGTGTGTTCTCATGAACTATTGAGGCTATATCCACAGAGAAGATCCTCATGGAGATTTGTATTGGTGAGATTCATTTTCAGTTGTGTGTGTGTGTGTGTGTGTGTGTGTGTGTGTGTGTGTGTATGTGTGTGTGTGTGTGTGTAGGAGATGCATGGGAACCCAATGATAATATTTTAATAAAATTCAATCACCGTATTCCGAGAAAATAGCCTGGCTACACACATGATAGGAATGAGTCCGCATGATTGGAATGAGTGGTGGTGTGTGTCTCCTAAGAACTTGGAGTTCAACGGTAGTGTCTATATTGCTATAAAGTCTCAAGATACCTGCACATAGTAGCTGTTCAATAAATACGAGTTCACTGACTTTTGAGCAAAGTCAAAATGTGGCCCCCGCTGGAGGAATCTCAGACATGAGCTCCAGCCTCCAGTGGCGCTGTGACCTCTACAACCACATGGGTCCTGTCTTCACTGGTTTTCTACCAGCAAACCCTTTTCCCACCAATCTAACTCTTTTTCCCTGCAGCGCCACACTTAAGACATGCATGTTGCAGCAATGGAATGGTAGAGCCGCCCACCTTCAGTGTCTGCACACCTTTCTCTACACCCTTTAGAAAAAGGGCCCCCTCCTACCGCCCTTTCCCTTACTGGCAAGGCCTGCACAAAGTCCACCAAGCCGACTGGCTGCTGGGACTGAGCTCTTTGTGAGAGGCCTTCCTTTCTGGAGCTGTGCTGCCATCTAGTGGCAGACATGTGCAAGGGTGGGGGAGGAATTGCCGAGAATGTAGCGGGGCCTGAATGACTTCACCTTTGAACCGCTGCCAGATTTCAGCTGCTTCTGGGTTGGTCCGGAGAGGCCCAGAAAGGTGCTTTCTTCTGGGAGATCTGCTTCCTTTAATAATGGTACAAGATGAGAGATTTATATTCGCATTCCCCCGTGAGAAGGAAGGGCTGGAATTTCAAGACATCTCAGAAGACACGGGTGGTTTAGTCGTCTTATCAGGGATTTTGTTCTACCTCAATAGTCTTTACAGTTTGTAAAGAAAAAATTGTTAGAATTGGCAACCAGTTTGTTTTCCTCAAGAGGCGGGGAGAGGGGGGGCAGGAACATTGATCTTCCATATGGTTCATTTGTTCCAACATGATGATAGACTGAGGTGTTCTTTAGGACCCCCCGATTTTTCCAGGATCAACCATGCTGATTTATATTGCTCCAAACAAATACTCCTTCCCATTGCTCATCTCTTGATCCCAGAAGTTGCGGTCTTGAAGAGTTCTAGTATTTTACACCCGAGAAAGCTGAGTCCGGGAAGGGAGCAAGCCCAGGCCCACAGGCAGGCAGCGCTGTGGAAGCAGGGCTGACTCGGGTTGCTGCCTAGCAGATGGAAGGGAGTCCGATCAGCTGTTTTCAGGGACAGAGAGAGCAGGGTACATACAGGATGGGTGCTCCTGAAGATGATCAATTGATAGGCCCATTTCCCCTCCCACTACACATTTTTAAGGTGTTCATTTTGGCCTGCCACCCTTTAAATGCAATTCCCCAGAAGTATCTCCATAAGGGAGAAAAGGTTTTTTTACTAGGTGAGCTGCTGACAAAAGGCCTAAAAAAGACAAAAGTTGTATTGTCCCCTTCAGCATTTGCACTAAGAGCACCTTCACCTGACCTTGAATCACCTCCCAGGTGCACAATGGGTTGCTAATGACCATCTTGGTCATTCAGCTTCGATGGCAGTGCCCTATGAAAGGGTGCTCTGACTGTGTATCATTGCCCCAAGATTTCTGTATTATGTGTTGAGGGGAAAGTTTTAGCAGAGAGGAAAATGGCAATTTTTTGGCACCAACAATAAGCAAGCTAATTGGTTGCCAAGGATTTGGGCCAAGGAACCTTATTTTGAGCTTTATCTGTGTGCATCATTTTTCCATGAGGATTAGAGAGACCTCAGTGATGGAGACATGTACAATAAATTACTACCGAAGGGCTGCAGTGACCTTGGCAGCAGCCTACTGTGGGTTCAGCGTTCTGGGTGGGCAAGCAGTAGCATTGCATGGGAGTCAGAGTGGGGTGGGGGTGGGGGACAGCTGGAGAAGAAATAGAAGAAAGTGGAATCTTGGCAGCCGCTACCTGGGCTCTCATTAGTTTCGGTGGAGCCTGACATTGGAAGCATAAGAAGAGCCTTCCGCAACTTCAAAGCTCGAGAGCACTCTGACAAATGGGCAGCCTTACAGCCCAGCAGCGTCCTAATGAGCACCATTAAAACTGTCTGGACCCCAACCCCCCAGCCCCAGCAGCACCGGGGTCGCCGGTGTGTTTTATACTGTTCTCCCTTCTCCGCCAGGAGTGGGAGCTGGTGGTGCTGGGGAAATTGAAGTGGAACCTGGCTGCGGTCACTCCTCATGACTTCATCGAGCCCATCCTGCGCAGGCTGCCCCAGGACAATGAGAAGTTGCCTCTGATCCGCAAGCATGCCCAGACCTTCGTTGCTCTGTGTGCCACCGGTAGGAGCAGGCGGGGGGTGGCGGGGTCCTGGAGAGCCCTGTTAGTCCTTTGGGAATGGTCCCGGGGAGGCAGGCTGGGTTTGGGGTGTAAGGGAGGGGTGGCCTGGAGGAATCTTAAGAGTCCAAGGTTTCATTCCCGGGCTGTTTCTCCTTTATGTGAGCTGCCATATTCTCTTTCTCTACCGAACTCATAAATGGTTTATGAGGACAGGTGTGGTAAGGAAGAAAAATAGTGCCTGTTAAAATATGCTTTATGGTGTCTAAAGTGCTCTTTGAAGATTACACATACTGTTCACTGGTTGTGTTTAAATCTTTAATCTTTTGAGGAAAAGGATGGCTTGGAGATAAGCCCAAGAGGAAATTTGGGGGTGGGAGCAAATACAGGTGAAAGGAACACTGTCAAGATAAACACACGGCCTGCACCGAAAAGTGGGGAGGGAGGCCAAAGGAATTCTTTTTACCGGAGGGCCTTTGCTGCCTCCTTGCTGTTCCCGGGCTGGGTGGGGGAGGGGACCTGGTTGTCTCTCAGCAAGGACTCACGTTCTGCGCTGGCTTCCGGTGTCCTCCGTGTGCGGCTGTTTTGACTTCAGTTGCAGACTAAATACAGCCACCTCCACTGGCCGTTCCACGTTCACATCTTTCCACCCATTATGTTGGTCCCACAGCTGATACAGAGTGCCTGCCCCATTTGCTTTGCCTTTCCGGAATGAACTAAAGGCAGTGTGGTTCGATACTGTCTCATTCAACGGAGCCCTGGCCAGTCTCTACCATTTTCTCCCCTGCCGTGGCCCTGGGTGAGAGAGAGAGAACCTGGGCCTTTCATTGTGCAGGGGAAAGGTTTCAGGAACTTATATTTTCACATTCAGAAATGTTAGGTAAAGATCTTTTGCCGGGAGGGGAGTTTAGCTCATGTTTGCCAAAAGCAATATGGATTGTAGGGGTGGGACTCCAAGGGGTTAACTTTTAAAAAGCTTACTGCATGCTATTTGTAGGTGGGTAAGGATGACCTTATAATATGTACTAGTGTATATGCTTAATGTCCACAGTCAAAAGGTCAGGCTTTGCCACTTATCATTGAGGAGACCTTGGGCAGTGTTCATGTGCAAAACACGCCTATAGATACATGACTCTACAGCCTTTTCACGGTGGGTAGAAAAATGAAAATCAGAAAGGATATGGAAGGAAGTAATTTGCAAACCAAGAAATGTATAGGACAACGTGCCACGGCACTAACGGAAAATGCCACTGTCTCCAGCCGAGATGGGTGTGATTGCTTCTCTAGCTGCCCTCACTCAATCCTGGGGGACCCTGTGCCCATGCCACCCACATTTGCATGGCTCAGGGTTCCTCTCGCTGGTTCTCTTTGGTCCTGCCCTTCCAGGTCGGGACCAGGCCTCCTGGTGTGTGTGTGTGCCCTGTGCCCCTTTGTGGGAGAGTTAGCCCCCTTCCCGCAGCCGTGGGGGCCATTCTTCAGAGCTCCCCGGGTTCTTGGTACTTTTAGACAGAAGCCATTCTTTTGCTTCCTCCCTTCTGCTGTCTAGCCTGGGCCTAGAGGTCAGGCCTCATTGACTTGCCACTTTGTCTCCCAGGCCTAGCTGTTTCTTTCCACTCCCTTGTCAGTATTCACTGGTGGGGGTGGGGGTGGGGGTGGGGGAGTGGGGAGGAACCAGTCCTTTTTCTGTGGCCCTAGGATAGCTGACCGCAACCCTAAGCTCCCCCGTTGCCCAGCTGTTGATAGCCCGAGTTCTGCTTTGACCTTGTCTCTTGACTGACAGATATTTTGGGGTCTTTCCACTCATTCCTCCTCCCTGATTGCTGATTGGGGTGGGGCTGGTGAGTGGAATAACCCAGGCATGGGCAGATCCCCAGGTTCTGCAAAGGCCCATTCTCTAAAATTGGGGATTCCATCCCCCACTCCTGGCCTTCTTACCCAGATCCTCGGAGTGGCTGCCAACTCTGGGGCCAGAGTAGGGAGCCTGGGATTCAGGGACTGAGGACAGAGGTCTGAGGGGAGGCAGAGGAAGTTATGCAGACTGCCTCTGGGAACTTTGAGCTGGTTTGGGCAGAATCTGGGGGACAGAGAGGAGAAAGAACACCTCTCACCAAATGAGAAGCCATATGCTGAGTACTAAGCCTCCAGTGTGGGCTGTCGGAGCAGAGGGAAGTTCTCAGACGTGCTCTGGGTTGAGGAAGGATGTTCCTGTCTCTTTCCCTGGTCTGGCCTGGAGTGGTCTGCAGGACCAAGCCCTACAGAAACTCACTGTGTGCAGGTTTCCGTGGTGGCACAGACAGTATAAAAGCTAAGGGCTTAGACTTTCTTGGAGAAAACACCCTCTGATTAGATGAGATTCCACATCCTGGGGCCAGGCTGACAGACGGGTGAGGGCCCAGGACGGTCAGGTAAGTAGCAGGCCCAGGGTAACGGAACCACAGGTAGGCGACCCTCCCGCCTTTAGGTAGGAGCCCCTCCAGCCTTCCGTTTCCACGTCACGTCGCGCTCCCTCCCCCCCGTCCTGGGCTTTGGGTCACGGAGCTGCAGAAGCACCTGCGGCCAAGGCCAGAGGCCCACAGGGGTCCGGGGGAGCCGGTTCATGGGGAAAGCTGGTTGTGAAAGAGCTGGCAGGGCGTGCAGCCTGGAGAGCGTATGTGTGTGTGAAAGGGGAAGAGAGAGCGGAGAGCACCGAGGGGCCGCGGGAAGGGGAGCGGAAAGCCAGCCTTCCTTTTCGGGGCTGAAGGGGAAGATGGTGGTGGGACAGAGAGGTGCCCTCCTCCTTCCCTGCGCAGCCCCAGTGGCTTCTGGAAGAGATGGCCTCCAACTGTCTGGTATTCCTCTCCCCGCCGACCCGCTCAGTGGGGGCATTGGGGTGAGGCCATCATCACAACTACTCCTGGTATTCCCTTTCCTAGGGCTCTGACCCTGGGGAGGCAGACCTGTGCCTCAGAGCCCCCAGGACTGTGAACAAGGAAAGTAGCCCATTTCAGATGGCTCGGCCTTGCACTCCTGTGCTGGGAGATTCTTGACACCTGAGCCCATGCACAGCAGGAGATTCCGGTAGACCCTAGAAGACAGATTGTGGCGATGAGTCTGAAGTGGGAGTGGCGGTGGGGGAGGAGGTGCTTATCCATGGCTCCCACGTCCCCGAGCCTGGGAGCCCCACCTCAAAATGCTCTGCTTGGCTAATTGGTGCCATGCACAGGAAAGCCCCAAGGCCTGAGCCCAGGTGATGGTGAGAACCATGTGCCCGCCCAGCCCTCCTGGCTTTACCAAAAGGGTGTCTCATGGCTTTGTGGCACCAGGGACAGTAGAGGCCCAGAGAGGGCCAATGACTCGGCCTCTTGACCCAAAGAGAGGAGGCTCACCTTCATGGTTGCCCAGAAGGAAGAATTGAAACCACCTTTCCAGCTGTGAGTTTCTCGCTGCCTCCCCAGCGGAAAGGTCATGAGGCTGAGGGGAAGCGGCCAGTTGAACCGGGAAGAACCCAGAGTCTCAGTTCTGTAAGTGCGCCTGTGGGGATGGGCAGTGCGACATCTCACTTCCCATCTGGCTGTCAGATGAGTGAGGGGCAGGCTGCTCACCATTCTCCAGGCTTCCCATGTTCCTCCCACCGAGGCCTGAGAAGAGAAGTTGGCATGAGCTTGCCATGGCAGTCCTGCCCCACAGAAACAGGGTGTGCTGAACCTCTTCTGGGCGCGGCAGGTGAGGTGTGTGCTACCAACGACATTCATTGACCTTTTAAACTCCCACCTGACAGCAGGTTGGAGGAGGGAGAGAGATAGGAAAAGGCCTGGTTGGATTCTTTGTTTCTCTATAGCCACAGATCAAGGGTCTCTTGCCCCCTAGTGGTGAGCAAAAGTAAAGCAGTTTCTCTTCTACTTCAAGGCCTTGGTCACCAGAGCCAAAACCATCTGCGCTAAATTTACCCACAAGGCCACGGAACCAGTGCTTTTAAACCTGGTTAGCTCATAACTCTTTCTTCAGAGTAATCTTAGCAAGAAGCACAAATACCAACCTGACAAATACTAGCACTTCTCCCTGCCCTTGCTCAGACGAAGGATCCCAGCAGGCCCAGGAGGTGCTGTGGTGCCCTTGGGTGGCTTGTGCAGGTCACCCAGCACTCCGGGGCATGGCTGGGAATAGCACCCATCTTATTGACCCTTGAGCCAGGGATCTTTCTTCTGGGCTTTTCTTCCACTTCCGCTAGGAAGGAGGACCCTGTATTCCTTAGTGGGATGACAGGGGTGATCTTGAGAAGACACCTTTTGGTAAGTTATATAGAGCACTTGGATCCAGAGTCCAAAAGTCTTCATCTTAACCCCAGGCCTAGCATTAGACATCAGACAAGTCACTTCACCTCTTGAGACTTCATTGGTTTTTCGGCAAAGGAAATGTTTCAGAATAGATGTCCCGTACACTGTCATTAATTCCTCACTATCCCTACCGCAGGGGAGCAAGCAGACAGCAGCAGAGTGCCCGTGGATTCCCCTCCAGGAGAGCGGAGGCTATGCCAGAGGCGTCTGGCTCCTTGGCTCTGGGTGGACCACACCTGAGTGAATGTGGAGTCCCTGGGAGGAGAGTTGCCACCTTAAGTCTTCCTTGTGTGCTTGTGACCTCTGTCAGTTCTCCTGTGGGGCCTCGGTTTCTCCCACTCCTGACAACCATCAGGAGGCTTTGGGGACTTGATGAGGCCATTTCTGGGGCATACCCACAATTTAACAGTGAAAGATTCTTCGGGTCACACAGAGCCCTCTTCCCTCCCACCCTTGGCGTGCTTGGCCTGCTCTCACTCAGCATCTGCCTGCAGACCCAGGATGCCGGGTACCTTTCTCCTCACCTCTGCTGAGCAGATTCCAGCTTTCCAAACTGCCCACCACAATCCCACATGAGTTTCCAGTGGCAAGAACAGTGGTGGTGATGACAGTGATGGTGGTGGCAGCAGCTGGTAGGTTCCTTACCATGAGCCAGGCACTATGCTTTTATATGGATTATTTTAGTTAATCTTCAGAACAACCCTATGAGGCGGGTATAATTATCCTTATTTGCAGGTGAAATAATAGGCTCAGAGAGATCAGGTAGTGCCCCTGTTCACACAGCTATGGGTGGTGGGACATCAGCCTCCATGCATTCCACCTTCCAATTCTTGGAGCTTCTTGGCTCTGCTGTCCAAATCCTACCCATCTCCTGGGAGAGTCCTCTTATGTGTATCCAAGGCTTCTGTCCACTTAAGCACCTCAGTTCTTTGAGAAGTTTCTTTAGAAGTTACCCGTGTGTACACCAGGCATGGGGAACGCACCAGACTGTGCCATCTGACTGTGTTTCAATCCTGGGGTGCCATCCCTGCGAACGGATCACTGGCCAGTCCCTCGCTTCTCATCACACTTCAGGAGAAAGGGGGTGGGGGGTGGGGGGAGACGAGGTCTCAGGAGGTCACAAACCACAAACTTCTCACCTTTCCGTGGGCAGCGAGGGTGGAAAGAGAGCCTGACCCTGCATGTGCCTTCTGCACCCAGATACAGCTTCTTGGAATTTTTGAGAGAGAGACTTAGAGATTTCTGAGAGATGCTTTACTTGGTTTTATTTGCTAAAGTAAAATAATACTAAAAAAAATTTTGCAAAAATGTATTTCCCCAACCAAATGGTAGTAAAGTTTGTATACCTTTTCTAGGTATGCTCCTAGTTCATCCCTATGTGTGTGTATATATATATATATTTACGGTACATATTGATGAGAGGTTGTAAAATTAGTTACCTATGCATGTTTTTCTGTTCTTTCCCCACCCCCAAGTATCATGGGCATTTCTCAATCCAATCACATAGCCAAAGTTTTAAAGTTTCCAGGAATGGCTACATGGGTTGGTAGATTGTTCCACGGATGGGATTGTTGGGAGGGAGGGAGGGTTGGCTGACTAAAGCCAGTGCAAGTTCACGACCCTTCAGATGTTTCATTCTAGTGTTTTTCTCCCTGCTGTTTCCCTAGGGGGGGCGGGGGCTGAGGTGGTCCCGGGACCACACCAGATGCCTTGTGACTGCTGGCTGATGGAAGCCGTGCTATATTCTGCTATCTCTTCCTTGCTTTTTTCCTAGGGAGTTGGGTGTGTTTTTTTTCTTTTTAGCCCTCAGGATATGTTTTTAATTGATTTCTAGAGAGAGAGAAACATTGTAAAAGAAGCATTGGTCACCTCCCACACATACGGTGACTGACCCACAATCTAGGTATGTGCTCTGACCGGGAATTGAACCCGCCACCTTTTGGTGTATGGGTGGACGCTCCAACCAACTGAGCCACCCAGCCAGGCCAGTCTCTTCTTCCAGATATTTGAGTAAAAGCAAATGAGAGCTAGAGGGCATCTGGGAGATTAGCTAGCCTGAGGTCTTTAAGCTTTTTTACCTAAACCTCGAAGGAAGAAACACACTATATAACACAACTCAGGAGAGACACATAAATACAGCAAACCGATACAAAAGTTTCTCAAAATGGTATTTACTCTTACTACCTGCCCTGCTTCCTGATACATTCTATCCTCTTCTGTTCCATTAAGCAACTAAAAGTGCTGGTCATGCCCCACTGATGAATTTCATGACCCACTAATGAACTGCAACTGGAGGTTAGAAAAACGCTGATCTTAATGGGATTCCAAGGGCTGTGGGAGGTAGTGACCTGTTCAAGGTCCCAACGCCGGGACCAGGCTTCTTAGTGCTGAGGCCGCCTCCTGTCTGACTAAGCAGGCGAGCTGGGCAGCTGCTCCTGGCTCCAGAGGACACCAGTCTGCTGCCAAAGAGGGTGGCACAGAGCAGCGGCCAGCCTGGTTACCAGCAGCTCCTCACCACGGGGGTGCTAGGCCAGTATTCTGTGCTGCTCTGACCTGTTGAGAGGCAGCTGTGTTCATGCACACGGTGCTCCCGGTTCTGGGGAGAGGGACGTTGTCCCCAGGACTTCCCCTCGGTGTTTTCTTAGCAAAACAAGAGAGAGAGAGAGAGCCCTGGGTAACTAGTGCCTGCTGCACCGGGGACAACCTCCATAGATCTCCTGGCTTCCAGAAGTTAATCTGCTACAAATAGAAGTTGCTTTTGAGTGTAAAGGGACAACCAAGATAGGTCTGTGTGAGGTGTGCTTCTTGGTCTGAGAGCTGCACAGAGGGAGAGGAGCTCAAGGACCTGCCCTTCCCTGCCAGATGCTCCCACCCAGGCTTCCGCGGCCCAGGGCCACGGGCTGGCTTCCTCCTCCGCGTTATGAATGCCACAGGGGGAAGCTAATGAGGTTATTGGGCAGAGAAGCACTCCTGTGACCCCCCCGGGAAGAGACCTACAGCAGAGCAGGAGGCAGGGAGGTTGGCCCTGTTGGTGTCTGTGGGGAAGGAGGCGGCACTGGAGGGGCTTGTGGACAGCAGGCTTTGGGCAGATGATCACCATAGATGTCCCTCCAGAGGCAGACATGGTGAGAGGGCTCGGGTCAGAACGCCAGCCAGACCGTCAGATGGCCAGGCCGGCTGCGCCCACGGGGCTGGCCGAGCCGGGAGGGAGGTCTGAGCACGGTTCAGTGAGCAGCGGTGTTTCTAAGAACACCACTGCCTTGGCGCCGGGCAGTGGGGTCACTGGTAAAAGTGCTTCCATGGGCTGTTGTCACTGTGTGTTGCAGAGGAAGAAAGGGGAACACAAGGCTGAATTGTTTTTGAAGGTTCAAGTTGAAGTGCAGCCCATGTCTTCCCTCTGCACAACCTCCCTCCCTTCCCCCTCCCCGCCCTGACAGGTTGGGTCTGCAAGGCCGGGGTCTGCTTCTGAGTATCTTCAGGCTGGGGAGCTCCTGGGTCTCATTCCTTCCCCTGCCCTGACCTTGTGCCCCATTTTCACAGACTTTAAGTTCGCCATGTACCCGCCATCGATGATTGCGACTGGGAGTGTGGGAGCCGCCGTGTGCGGGCTGCAGCAGGACGAGGAAGTGAGCTCGCTCACCGCCGATGCCCTGGTGGAGATGCTGGCCAAGATCACCAACACCGATGTGGTAGGTGGCAGCCCTCTTCTCGGTTAAGACCAGACACCTCCTTGCTTGGTGATGATGTGTCAGGTACTTCTGTTGGTGGTGGTTTCTGTGTTCTAAGATCAACCAAGGGAGTACAAAATCCAGCAGGGAAGGCCTCCTCTTAAGGTTTCAGAAGCCTTAAAACAGAGAAAAGCACTGAGCAAGCAGGTGCAAGGGGGCGGGCAGGCCGGTTACTAATTTGGCTCTATGACATGGGCTACCCAGTGGATGTGAACCTGCTTCCTTCCCATTGACATGCACGTCAGCTGCCTCCTCCCCCTTTGGGCGAGCTTTCGTGTCTGCTCACGCCAGGGGAGAAGGGAGGGCCAGAGCAAGGGCCTGCTGTCCTGGAGGGCGTGGCCGTGCAAGAGGTCCCCACACAAGGCCTCCTCTGCCTCTCACTTCCCTTTGTCCCATGTGGCAATAGGGTACAAGACACTTTGAGAAGAATGAAGGGCCACACCAACGGAAGGAACTGCTCTTAGACGTGGGTTTTCCCGTGCTGCACCCTGTGGGTGGCCCAGAGGCTGTAATACTGGCTGTCAGAGTTTGAAGCTCCTTCCGAGGAAAAAGGTTCTGAGACAGAACAGGGTTAAATGAGCCTCCTAGTCTAGCTGGGAGAAGACTGCAGCCCTTAGAAGGCCTGAGCCAGGGGGTTCTGAGAGATCGGGAAGGCACCGAGGGGTGGGGGGTAGCTGGCCTGTGGGGAGGTCAGTGGCAGAGCTGGGATTAGAACCCAGGAGCTCCGACGTGGCCTGGGAACTTTGCTCTCCACCCTGGCTGCAGCCCTGGCATCTTATTGTTTGAAAAAGGCCTTTGGTTTAAAGGCAACCGGAGCGGGTGTTAGTCTAAGGAAGGCCCTTGTGAGTCACCATGGAGAGGCTCAGGAATGCCGGGGGACGTTATGATGGCCCTCTGGGTGTTCTTGGTGGGAGGGAGGGGCGGGGGGGTCTGAATGTCGTTCTGTGGGAATATATTGAGTTAAGGGGTGATGTGGTTGACAGGCCTATGGCCTGCGCCTTCTCTGGGGACACTGGGCAGAAGGTTAAGCCTGCCGCCTGCTGGCTTCCTCCCCCACCCACCTTGCTGCTCCTCTCCAGGAAGTGAAGCTGACGGTGGGATAGAACCTACGGAGCCTCCTCTGAAACAGTTCTCAGATATGCTTTTAAAATGCTGGCTCCAAAGCATAGGCGTTTGAAACATGGTTTCCAAAATATAGATTGAAACGACCCCTCCAGGGCAGCTCCAGGTGAGGAATGCTTTTTGAATCCTCTAGAGACAGGACTTAACATTTATAGAAATGACTCACTTCCTCCCTTTTCTGAGGAATGTCTCCTATGAAGGCTGCCTTTCCACAAGGACTCCCAACCAGCTTGTCCCTGACATTTCTGACCCCCAGAAACAGAAATGTCAGGGATAAGAGTTCGACCCCCAGGTGTTGTAACATCTCTCAGGTACTTACAGATCTGCTCCCTGTGGCTGATTGCCCCACTGGTGGGTCTCCACCCTCTCCCATCTCTGTCTCTATCACCCCTTACTGGTTTCGAATGCATAAAGGTCATTTCTGGGGCACCACCCAGGCTCACAGGCTGCTTTGCTTTTCCAGACTGCAAACCACTCTCCTTTCATGCTGGAGGAACTGCTTGCCCTTCCAGATAAGATGTAGCCAGTCCATTCCAGTCAGCTGTCAGCCTGGGTTAAACGAATACAAACTCCCTCCGAGTTCTATACGTCCCAGCTAGTGACCCCCAGAGGTGCGGACATGCCTCCTTCTCACAGGGCTTGGGGTTAAACATTTTAATATTAAAAACGAAGCAGAAACTTAGAGTCTGAAATTATACCACTCTTCAGGTAACAGTTGGAGACCTCAGTAAGTCTCAAGCTTATCCCTAGTCCCCAGAGGCTTGCTCACCCTCTCGCTAGGAAAGTTCTCAGTGGAAAGGCTTGAGCATCCCCGGGCCAGGCTGTCTGTGTGCTTAACTCCCAAGTGCTAAGCCTCCTCCCACCCGTCAGCCTGTGTTCTCTGAAGAGCCGAAGCACAGAGTGAAGGGAAATAAAAGGACTAGAATTTAGGGTGCACCAGCTCTTGGAGGGAGGTGAGTTTTGCTTCCTGAGCTCTGTGTACCATGTCTTGAGTTGAGAAGTGGTATATTTCATCCAAGCACTTACTCTCCATCACTTGTGCAAGTGTTTATTGAAGGCCCATTTGTCCCAGACCCTTGCATTATGAGCAAGGAATAGACCCAAGGCACTAAGGTAGAAGTTGGGGGCGTGGGTTGTGCATGGAAAATAAAATATGAGGCTCCTTCCTTCAAGGAACTTTAGCAGCAGTGTGGAGAATCAAGAGTAAGGTAGGTAAACCCTGGCAAAAGCAGGTCACAGATGAATGACAAGTCATGTGTTAAGAGCTATAAGTGCAATAGGAAATCACGTCAGATGAAGGTGCTCACCAGGCCTCCCAGCAGAGGAACCCTGATGACTGAAAATATTGGAATGGAGAAATAAATGTGGTATGTACATGCAGTGGAATATTACTCAGCCTTAAAGATAAGTCAAGTTCTGACACATGCTACAACATGGATGAGCCTTGAAAGCATGCTAAGTGAAATAAACCAGACACAAAAAGATAAATATTTTATAGTTCTACGTATGTGAGATACCTAGAATAGTGGACTAGAGGATACCAGGGCCAGAAGGGAATGGGGAGGAACTATTTAATGGTTATGGTCTTTCGGTGTGGGCTGACATGTGGGAGTACCACAAGCTGAATGTACTTAAAGCCACTGCATACTTAAACACGATTTAGATGGTTAATTTTATGTTACCCATATCTTGTCACATAAAACATACACGTATACATATACTACATATATACAGTGTCCTTGGGCCACACTGAAATGCCCAAAGGTTTTCATGAGCTTTCCCCAAGGAAGTCAAGCACACAATACTGCATTTGCGCATGCACGTGCGCGCACACACAGACACACACACACACACACACACACTCCGGCTCTCAGCACTGAGTGGGAATAGGGAGGAGCCAACATCTTACCCTGGAGTCCCTGCAGGCTGGGCCTGTCCTGTGCACCTTGTTATTTGTGGTCTCCTGAAGCTTACAATGTTCGCTGTGCAGAGGTTGTCAGGGATCAAACTGCTGAAAAGGGGGTCCCCTTGATTGGCTGGAGACAGCGGAACAAGCTCCTCTGGCTCCCTGGCCGCAGCAGAAAGCTTTGATGGGAGGGACCCATGCGGTTCTGAGAAAGTTGGTCTTTGTTGCTCCCTCCGGTTGCCAAAATAAACCAGAACGCTTCATTCCAAATAGAAAACTGAGTGAGAAGCCTGACAGTTTTACAGGGAATAAAAGTCTCAGAGGGTGGTATATTTTAAGTACTTTTTCCTTCCACTCATAAGTGCTGCTAAAAACAGACACCAGCCAGAGAGACAGTGCTGGCTTTTGGGGGAACCTGTACTGACTTCCGTTGCCAAGGGTAAGTCTGAGGGGCACTGTCCTGGTTCCCCGTGAACCTTCCCCTGCTTCCCCAGGCAGGATTGGGGTTCCTCTTCCGTCCCCTGGGCACTCAGCTCGTGCCCTGTGCCAGCGTTGATCTCACTGCTCACTTGTCTATAGAATCTCTTGAACAAGACCCAGCTTTGACTTGGCTCTTTCTCCGGAGCCCCTGGCAGAGTCATTGCGGAGGGATGCTGGAGACAAGGAGAGGAGGAGGAAGGAAGGAACAGAAGACAAAGGCTGGGCACATGTGTCTCAAGCGCATTTCTAATCCTCCGGTCTCTCAAAGGCTTTTCAAAAGCTTTCTATTTCTCAACATCAATTATAGGCCAGGGTCCTCAGAAAGTCTTACCTGACCTTGTCTTAGTCGCTTCAGTTTCACACAACACAACTTCACTAATTGGCTAATGAAAAAATAGAATTGAGACTGGCAGGCCATGGTGATGTTGTGAAGTTATTGGAAGATATTAAACAGAACAGACACGGACTCAAGTGACCGGCCATGACGTTTATCCTCTTCTTAGGTTGCATCAAAACTTTGTCACAATCTAAAATATCGCCAGGAGAAGGTTATGAGATGTCCCTTCTTTAGGGTCATCCTGGCATGTCATGGTCCTGATGGTCGGTGAGCTGTTTAAAAAGTTAGCAGTGGCTGAGACCCGTATGGCTCAATGGATAGAGCGTCGGCTTGGGGACTGAAGGGTCCCGGGTTTGATTCCGTCAAGGCCATGTACCTTGGTTGTGGGCATATCCCCAGTAGGGGGTGTGCAAGAGGCAGCTGATCAATGACTCTCTCACATCGATGTTTCTAACTCTCTATCTCTCACCCTTCCTCTCTGTACAAAATCAATAAAATATATTTTTAAAATAAAAAAATAAAATAAATAAAAAGTTAGCAGTGAAGTGAAAGAAGCCTATTTGACAGCGTCATTCACAGGGTCCCTCGCATTGTCTTGGTCCTCCTGGCCTGCCGGCACACCTTCTCTAAGGCCAGTCTCTGAAGACATGAAGAGGTGCTGGGAAGGAAGCGGGGGTAGGAGGTGGGGAGTAGCATTGGAGGTTGAGGTTTCCCTCTCCGGCCACATTTTTGCTGTGGGCCTCATTGGGATGCAAGGAAATTCCCCAAACAGCCTGTGAAGAAAGGAAGAATGAGGCAGTTTCCTAAGTTGTCTCTGCCTGAGTTGGCAAGGGTCTGGGGCTCATTCAGCCCTTTGTCCCCCGTGGAGTGCAGTGCATGTGTGGCAACAATGGAATGATGTAGCTACACTGCGGGCTAAGGGTAGGAGTTCCGTCGTCGGGTCATTCATGGAGGCAGAGGAGGGTGCAGGGCTCGGGCTGGAGCCAGCCAGCGAAGGAAGTCGGGGTCGTGTGACGAGCTGGAGGTCACAAACACGCTATCAGGGCGCCGAGGCTAGAGGTGTGGGCAAGGAGGGGCCGGCATCATGGGATGTGTGCCCACCACATGGCCCCAGGAGCAAGTCCGCTCTTTCGGATGGTGCTCAAATGGAGCACGAGCTGTCCATCGGCTGAAGAAAAACCAACAGAGAAAAACCGCCTTCCGAAGGGATGGTCAAGACTAGTTTTGACTTACCAGGTCCTCTTTGCCTTGTATGTTAATCCCACAGTAACCTTGATTTTTAGATTGTAAGGCTTTAAGGTTTTCAAATGTCTCCTACTAAAAGGCCAGTGTCCTTATAAACATGATGCCTTTAGCCTTCACCACCTAGAGCTTTTGACAAGTGGTGAGTAACTCACAGCCCCGTGCTGTGGATGGCCTTGGAGCAGGAGCAAGGGGAAGATCCAAGTAGAGGGGCAGGAGAGGCCCACCAGCTTCCTAATCGCTGTTGAGGGGGGTTAGCAGGGAAAAGGCTAGGACTAGGAAAAGCCACAGGAAAGCTGAGGGATGTGAGTAGGTCTCTTGGTTGCCATCCCCTGACACCTCACCTTCTTCAGGGTGGCATGGGGACCTCTGCAGCTGGGCTATGTCTGTCTTGGTTGACATTCAGTTCGCAGTCCCAGTCACCATGCCCTTCACCAATCTTGGGCAAATGCATCCCTCATTTTAAGAAGTCTAAAGAGTCCGGCTGGAGTGGCTCAGTGGTTGAGCGTTGACCAATGAACCAGGAGGTCATGTGTGATTCCGGGTCAGGGCACATACCCAGGTTGCTTGCTCTTTCCCCAATAGGGGGCGTGCAGGAGACAGCTGATCAATGATTCTCTCTCATCATTGATGTTTCTATCTCTCTCTCCCTCTCCCCTCCTCTCTGAAATCAAGCAAACGATATAAAAAAATATTTGGGGGTTGGGGGGGAGTTCTAAAGAATTCGTTCAGATCCCTGGATTGATTATCTATTGTTTTTCATAATTAATAATGATCATTTATTGAACTGCCACTTAGTACATCATACATAATATCTCAGTTGATCTTTACTCCATGAGTGTTTCAGTATCCTTATTTTACAAGTGGGGAAACTGAGATCAGAGAACTTAACTTAGCTGCTGCCTGCAAGTATGGTGGGAGGTCAGCAAATACCTACCCTTCCTCTTTTAGTTTTTTAACCCCCCACCCCCAAACTCTCCCCTGCCTTCCCTGGCCTTTCCTCTTTTTCTTCTTCTTACATTCTGGGGGATATAGCACTCGTCTGCAGTTGTTCCTACTCTTAATTTTCTTAAAAAGCTAGTTTGAAATGTGGAGTGGATGAGAGATGGGGGACTGGAAATTCTGTTTCTGAGTAGTTACCTCCAACTTTATTTTAGATTTTTGGGATATAAAGATGACCCCTCTGTGTTTGGCAAACCTCTGTTCATTGACAACTGCACAGTGAAACAGACACATGGAAAGAACCAGGCAGCTTCAACCGAGTATATTTTCCACGTGTGTGCTGCCCAAGAGAGTGCAGAAAAGCAGCCTCGCAGAGGACAGAGGTTGGAATACCCACTGAGCAAGTGGTGCAGCTCACATCCTGCTTTTTAGGAGGAGCACAGTCTCTCCTAGTGACACCATGAATTGCCATTGCATTCCACACCAGCCAGCTACCAGCGGCTTCTGCCTTGGGCAGACACTTGGCATTTTCCCTACCAATACACTAATGTCAGAGCAATCCTGCACATCTTTGCTTATCCCCAAATTGGACAGCGCAGAGTGTCCAGAATTTAGTAAGCATTCTGAATTGTATTTTTCTTAGAGTTAATGGAATGGTAGATAAGCAGAAAAACAGATTGTTTTGTTTTTAAGCACTTTCAGTAGTGAGAGCTGGTGCAGTTCAGCCCATTCTTCTCTTATCCCTTGTCTACCTACTACAGCGCTAACTGCCCCTTTTCTCCATAATCTCCAACTTCCCCAGGAACTGTCTTATGGCCCTTAGATCCCTCCGGGACCCTGCGTGCCCATCTGTGGCTCACCATCTAGGCCAGAGCTTCTCAGATTCTCCTGTGCACATGAATCCCCTGAGAGTCTGCATTTCTAACATGCTCCCAGGTGATGGCGAAACATGGACTGGGAGTAATGAGGTTCCATGGCATGTCAAAAACACATCTCCTTTATTTCACATTTATTTCTACTGCAAAACTAGTATGGAATGATAGGCGGTTTGAACTGTGTGTGTGTGTGTGTGTGTGTGTGTGTGTATTTTCTTTATCAAATGCTCTATACCCTGTTCATGTTGCTAACAGTTCTCTGGTCTGTACCATTCTCCTCCTAGGATTGCCTCAAAGCCTGTCAGGAACAGATTGAGGAGGTGCTGATCAGCAACCTGCAGCAGTTTCAGGAAGCAGGAGATGGATCCAAGGAGGAGGAGGAAGTGGTGGACCAAGCCAGCACCCCTACAGACGTGCGTGATATTGACCTGTGAGATGTCAGTCGGGCCGCATGGGAGAGATATGCTCAAATCTGTGCTCTCCTTCTCTCTGGTTATTTTGTTCTTTATGTTTTAGGGTGAAATTAAAAAAAACACACACACACACACAAAATTCTGCCCCTACCTAGATCATATTGAAAGGTCTTTTAGAAGTGAGAGAAAAAGGTCTGATAAAGCTGGAATAATTAAAAGCGTTTGGTGCCTATTTGAAGTACGGTAGAAGGGAATCCCTTGTGTATTTGAACAGTTATTGCTTGATTATGTTAAAAGTGGTAGTAAAATGCTTACAGGTATACTGCAGAGTAGCTAGAGAAAATGTACACCTGCATTATGGGAAGAAATTAGAGGAGACTTTTTTTCATGTTATGAACTAGCACATATACACCCCTACTAGGATAACTTCCAACCACCGTGTATACATCTTACGGCATTAGATTGCTAAGCCATGAACTTGAGAAGGAATTGGAAACAAGGATGGACACAGTGGGGAGGGAGGATGAAACAATCTCTCAGCGTGACTGAACCATTTTGGATGTAGAAGCACCTTTGGTCTTGACACCTATGACTAAGTCAGGATTATTGCCAGATCTCTAGTTAGGAACTCTTGCTGTCTACAGTAGCTGCTACCTAAAACAGATGTTTTACTCCCCAGTTGGACACAGGTTATTTGGACCTGGGTTTATGTTTTTTTGACATCTTGCTTCTTCTTCCAAACATGGTTCATCGCGTGTACCACCATATTTTGTCTAAAGGGGCAATGTGGCTCTGGGCCATTACCAAACCTCACATGAAACAGAGGCAGATGGAGACCAAGGGTGGGATCTGGAATGGAATCTTGTAACACCTAAAGAGAGTTATGTGACCCTGGCATTCCTTATTAGGAGAAAACTAATTTTTGGTGCTGATTGGCATGTCTGGTCCACACTTTAGCGTTGTTATAAACCATTCCATTCGAAAAGCACTTTGAAAAATTGTTCCAGAGGGATGGATGGGATGGTTTATGCAAATTATACTGCGTAGACTCCTCCCTTCTTCTCTGGTGCCCTGCCCCCTCCCACCTGGTACTAGTCGCTTCTGGTATCTGGCATTCTCTGGTACACAGTTCTGGTGTCCCTCCTAGGAATGGAGAGACAACCCTCTCTGCTGACATTCCCATCACAACATTCCTCAGAAAAGCCTAAAAACAAAGATCTGTTACCGTTTTGATGGCATGTAAGGATCTTCACTCCCACCTATATTCTTCCCCTTTGGACACGAAAAGCAATGACAGCTGAACAGCAGTGTGGCATTTTGTTCCCTTTTACACTTTCTGTTAATTAGTTGCAAAGTTGTTCAGTGTACTTGAATTTTTTCCCCTCTCCACTTCTTAAACACATTCAGTTAGCCAGGAGGTTGGAACAACAACATTTTTTTTTTTTTTTTGCACAATTATAATTGACAGGTAATGAAGCTATTTGTTAAAATATTTGCCTTTTTTTTTTTTAAGCAAAAAAAGAAAAATCAGAACAGGGCTCCTTTGAAGAATTGTTTTATACACAGATTCTGCCTTGTTTCATAGTATGGGGATTGAAGATGGAGAAAAACCTAAGGGTCTCTTATTTTCATTTTATTATGTTCAGTTTTTTTTATTATTACTTTTTTTTTTTTTTGCGCTGCTAAGAAGCTAATTCATCCTTATTCACATTAACAGTACTTAGCTGTAATGTTTTTCACAGAGTGTGCTGCTATTTTATAAACATTTTTATAATATATTATTTTACTGCTTAAATTCCAAGTCCTGAAGTAGATGGTTGCTATATGAGTTCTTTGTACTGGAAAAGCCCTTTCATAGTTTTTCTTCTGGTAGCATATTCACAGTTGGTGTTTTTTGGTTTTTTTTCCTTTTGGATTTTTTTTTTTTTTCCTCTCTGGTCATATTCTTCAAAGACAGAGTATTCTTTACCTCAGGTTTACTGGACAAACATCAATAGCTACAACAGAAAACAATTCACATTTTTGTTTTCATAATACCTCACAACCACACACACAGTTTCTGCTTGGAAGCCCATGCGTGTGGAGAGAAGGCGGGAGGAGGCTGCGGGCAACGGGGTAGGTTTGGCCTGGGGCTCACACCCTGGGACCTTTTCAGTAATGAAGGTCATCAGGCTTCCATTTTGACTCTGGTATCCTCATCATGATGGAAAAAATGCAATTGAACCAAGGGATTCCCCCCTCCACACACACACACACACACATGCAGACATTCAGCACAGACATTTAGGCAGTGGATGAGGAAGCCATGCTTTGCACTTAGGTATCAGGAGACAGGCTAAAGCATTCAGCAGGCTGCTTGGAGACCCTCATCTTGCAGCCCTTCCGAAAGCAGGGCTTTCGTCGCTGGGGTCCTCTCATCCTGCAGGGACCCTTCCCTCCCTCTCTTTCCCTGACAGGCATCCGCAGGGGACAGTGACCACAGGGTTTTCTAGGTCTGAATCTGCAGCTTGCAGTGTTGTGGGGATTCCTCCCCCACTGGTCTCCGACGGGGCAGCAAGGCCAGGTCCTCTCCGAAGCAGCAGTACATGTTTTTAGGTGCAAATCGCATTGAATTGGGGAAATAGGTAGGATGATCACTGGATGGGAGTTGAAGGGGGCGTGGCGAGGCTGCTTCCTTACAGCTTCCTTACAGCGGTGCGAGTCCTGATGCGGGAGATTCTCACGGGGTGTTTAGAAGGTCAGGGACTCGATGAGTTAGCAGAACCCTACATTCTAGGGAGTTTCTGGTGGGGTAATGGGTGGTGAGTTCTGAATTCTGGAGAGGAAAGCTGTCAGGCGGTCTTTTATGAAAAGCCCACTTTGCACAGGACACTCTGGCCACGAGGAGCCCGCAGCACAGAGAGAGGCTGGTCCGAGAGCTGGGGAGTGTCCGGGAGCCTAAAGACGAGATGAGGGTACAAACCTACTCCCTAGTGACCAGCCCTGAAGCGCAGACAGAAGCAGCAGCAACTGAGAGAACCTGACGAGGAAGGAAACGGACTCCCTGCAGCCTAGAACTTCCTGCTTTTCCTCAGGCCCAGATGCCCCGGGGCCTTCTAGTCTTTCCCGTCCTCCTCGGGGCCCAGGTGCTAGGTGTGGGCTGCTGCTGGGGAAGGTGCTAGTTGGTTTTCCTGCCTGTCCCCTCCTTTAAACAAGAGAAGGAGCTCATCATTTAAGTGGCTGATACCCTCTCCTTGGATCTTGGTTTCCTTGGTAGGAGATTGTCTCAGAGAAGCTCAGTTTTCGTGGTTTTGTTTTTTTTTTTCTTTTTCACTTCCTACCTAAAGGGGTTTCAAACCTGTTCTGAACTTTTTCTACCTTAAAAACAAACAAAAGAAATCTCTTCCTCCTCTCCGTCTTTTTGTTGTTTTTCTCCATCAGTGGGGGCTAAGTTGTTCCCCAAGCTTGCCAAATTTTGTTCCTCTCCCTGTTTTGGCCAAACCCTAGGTGGGGAAAATCCTAGCATGTCAAAAATATATGCTAAGCATAATTTAATTCCTGTGGGTTCATATCAGCCACGAAGCCTGCAGGTGGAAGCAGGGGACAGATCCGCAGCAAGAGTCCCCGCTGCCCAGAGGACAACCCCTCAGAACGGCTGCTCTTAGAGGAGCCTGGGCTGGGTCTGCCCCCGGACCAACCGCTGAGGGCTCACCACGCCTGACAGCCAGGTCCTCCTCGGTCTACACGCTTTGTTCCAGAGGCTCTGTTCTGCCTCTGTCGTCCTGCCAGGGGACACATGGCTCAGAGACTAGCAGGGGCTTAAGTGACAAAACTGGGGGAGGAAGCAAGTCTGACTGCATCAGCCTCATTCCCTCACTAGGGTAGGCTCTTCTCAGAGGGAGCCGTGGCTTTCCTGCAGTCTCCACACTGCCCTGGGGCTCTGGGGCGGGAGTTAATAAGGACATTAAGCAGGATTGGATGACTTCTCAAAGAGGGCAGGGGACTTTTCTCTCCATGGCCCAAAGCCGGTAGGCCTGGGAGAAGAAATAGACTTGCACCTTATATCATGTAAATAATGATTTTCTAGTTCAAGGAGATGATGTTGGTAGTATGGGGATGGAAGATAGGGATGGGAGGAGGTCTGAGTAAGCCAGCTGGCTTCTAAGCCGAAAGGATTCCTCTTTGTTTATCTTTGAGCCAGTCCAACCCTGAGAATAGCTTTAAAAGGGAAATCAATGCTGAGACAGTCGAGTCCCCTTAAGCCAACAAACCAGCTATAGAAAGTGCAGGCTTCCACTGCTATGGGCTTGGACCCGTTCTCAAGAGCCGCTCATGCCACTGTCCATTTGTACAAAATAGGGCAGGGAGACAGACTCAGAGGATGTTTATGACTTCCTCACGCCACATGGTTTTTCACGATTCTAGACTCTAAACCCAGAACATCATTCTGCCTAACTTTTTCAGAACTGTTCTCCTATATTTGTGTGCCTCTGCTTTAGGCTTGGCTGGGCTATCAGACCTGATTCTTGGCTCAGGTTTCAAGAAGCCATCAGCAAATGTATCCATGCACGCTGTAGCCGCATCATTTATTCCTTTGCCTGCAGCCTAGGTTGGAGAAATAAGTGCCTTACCGAGTGTAGCCGTTATAGTATTCCATGTATTTTAACAGGTGCCCGTCCTTTAAAAAGCAAGGTGGTGTTTTGTTGTCCGTGGATTTCAGTTCTTATTGCTAGCCGCCTCTTAAATCCCCAGCAAACCATCGGGCCATTGGATTTTTTCCATTATGTTCATTACTCTTGTACCATGTACCTCAGATCTCTCTTTCTCTCAGTTACAGTTTCTCGTCTTGGACTTCCTTTATTATTATTATCATTTTTTTCTTTGCTTTAAACGAGTGTGATGCCATTTCAAGTCCATGTACTTCTCTCACAGTGTACTCTGTAAGAGGTGTGGGTGTTTATTTGGTCGGGATGCTAGCAAGTGCTGAAGTAGCGTGATCAATATGAAAGGTTTTTAGGAAGTGTGGGGAAATGTTTTATTGGATATGGTGGTGACATGGTATAGTCAGTTGCCTCTGAAGAGGTCCTATCTGTTCAGTGTTAAGTGATCTTAAGAAATAATAACCTGTTATTCTGACTAGCTTAAAGATGAGTTTGGAAATGGTTTTGGATGTGATTAGGAAATGATATGTGGACAATAAACTCACCTTGACCTAAACTCTCTGGCCACTTGGACTTATTTATAGACCAGAACTTTGCCCAAAGGAGTCTCTCTTTCTCATGTCAGAACTCTATTGGCAACATCTGGTGGTGGTGCAAAATACCAATCCTAACCCGGAAAGTAACCTTCAGATGCATCCAGGCTATCACAATGCAAATAATTGATGACATTTTTCCCCTTGAGGTCACCCATGCTACCTCCTTATAAACCGGAAGCTTCAACCCACTTTCATAAGGTGTGAAAGCAATTGCTGTAAAGATAAGGCCTCAGATGCTGGCCCCAGTTATTGCCAGCTACTCCCTTTTGGCTGTGAGTGAGCTTCTCCTGGCGTGGAAGGTGCCATTTCCACATGGAGGATCGCCGAGAGCCCTACCCCTGCAGCATTCCTGACCTCATCTGACTCCTGACCTCTATCCCTCCCGTGAGGACTGGGCCACCACTGCCCTTGGTGGAGAGGTGGTGAGGCAGAGCCTGGGAAAGGGTGAGACAGTCAACATTGACATGAATTGCCAGGACCCGGTCCCAGCAGCGCCAGGCCCTCGGCTGCTCAGATCAGCTTCCATCCCAGGAGTGACGGGTAATGCCAAGAGCAGAGTGACTTCACAGCCATTTTGATGCTAGAGAAAAGAAAACTTTTCTCTCTAGTTCACTCTCACTTACCGAAGGCTGTTTTCCAGAGTAATAGTGGCTGAAGCTGTCTGCAGGAAGGTTTATGCTGTCCATTGGCTACATCCGGATTAAGACAGTCCCTGTTCATCTCAAGTAACCACACCCAATAGAATTTTAAATCCTACAAGGACTCTAGAAATGCCTCTTTGTCCCCATCCCCGGCTAACATCACTGTTCTTGCAGACAAACAGGGATAACGTTTTTCTTGGGTTTCTGCCTGTGGAGTCTGCCGGGCCCCCTGGGTGTTTCCCAGGTTGTCACTCTTACCCACCTTCCAAATACCCTCTGCATGACTCCCACCCTTCCCCCATCGGCTTACCCTGCAAGTACTGGGGCAGTGCTGTTAACAACACTAAAATTCCACTCCACCCAAAAGCATCCAGACGGGGTGTCCCCCACTCGGAGCTGTGGGTGTGTAAAGGTCGGGGGAGCAGACGAAGCATGTGCTCCCCTCCCCACAGTGGGCTGGTGACACACCGCATGGCCCCTTTACGCACTGTCAGACCTGTCTCATCTTACAATTAGAAAAGCTCAAATTTGACACAAAAGTGCCCCTTCTGAAAGTGGAAATTAGGGATGGAATGAAGACCTAGAAACCCAATACGTTTTGTGTGTGCTTTAGTGAGTGTGTTTGTGTGTCTAACCATTTCCCAGAGATCTGGAACGTTCATTCAGCCCACAGAGCCAACACCAAAACACAGCGTTTCATGTGGCTTCGTAATAGCCTCAACCTACTGTCATGAAGCCAGTTTTCAAAGCTGAAGATCATCCCAGATGACTGCCCCCTGCTCTTACAGCGGTAACCACGGCACAGAAATACTGGCGGCTGGACAGGAAGGGTCAGAGTGGTGAGGAAAGGAAAGCTGAGCGTCCACAGCCAAGCCGTGTGTGCAGGGCTAATCGGGCCTTCAAGGAAAAGCCGACAACAAACCCCAGCCCCATGGATTGAGCAACATTCCACAGGAGACAAAACCCAGGAGGCTGCACAGAGGTGCAACCGCAACTGCTAATGCCCGTGGAGTAAGGTGGTGCCCCAACGTGGGAGGGTGCTTTCTGAGGAGCTGGGGCAGGGGCCCTCAAACAAATGCGTTTTAGGGAAACATTTGGTAAGATGCAGCATGGTGTGTAAACAGAAACAAAAGGTTGTCCTTTTCCAAAAATAAAGGGGTGAGAAGTGATCTTAAAGCTGAAGGGAAAATAGTAAAATAGCTTGACAAATACTCATGAAATAGGGGATTTTAACACAGTAAGCACAGGCGTTACTCTCCTAAAACAGGATAAACTGAGCCCCAGACATGGATTGGGGATTCCCACCTACCTGATTTCCCCGAGGCTACAGAGATAAAGCCTGCAGCCTTGGCATGATGACTTCAGTCACGACTTTCCCATTTCCCACTTGGGGGTCTGGGTGCCTCGGTTGGAATGGAGGGGCAGACTCTATCAGCCCAGACCACAGGCTTGGTCAAGCAGGACTGGGCGGCCTAAGGAAACAGCAAGGCAAAACTCCACGGACTTCCCTCTGGCCCTAGCAAGTGGTGTATCCCACTCAGCTTTAAGTCGATGTTCACCCAAAACACACTTCCATTTCACTTGCAATTTGCTTCAGCACTGGCTTTTGCTTGTCAGCATGTTCCCCACCACCCTCAGACCTCTGTGGGACTCAACTTGGAGGTCTAAACATAGGGCGCTCCCTGGAAAGTCCAGTAGGTGGCACCACTGCCACAACGGAACAACATGAACCAGTGGAGCCAGGTGTGGGGTGCCCAAGACCAGCAGATCCCTCACCAGCTTCCCTCAGCACCACCACCGTCTGACCACCGGGGAGTGGCTGGTGCGATTCCTGAGATGGCTTACTGGCAGCCTACTGACCAACTGCTACTTGCAGATGTATTTGGTTTGACTCCCACCGTGTTTTCAGTTGCCTTGGACTTTCTTGCTAATATAGGATGAGGGCTCTCACATACAGGTCAGGATGCTAACTACCCAGGAAATCTACTTTCTAGCAACGACAGGCCTGAGAGGCAGTAGGAGCTGCAGCTGAGGACCCAGCTCCCCGCGACCCCCAGCACCCACCCACCTGTTGTGGCAGAATGCACGGGAGAACCATCAGCTCACAGATCTACTAGTCCAGGGGAATTCCAGATCCAATGCCTGAAGTGAACTCTGGAGAGGCTCTGACCTATTTATCTCCTGCTGTGGTGGGCCCCTGAGGTCCCCGCAGCTCCGCCCAAGTCAGCTGTGGTGGGGCCTTGGGGTTAGGCTCCGCAGCTCCCCCAAGTTCAATCAGAGTGCGGAAGTAAGACTACAGTTTTAACAGATACTGAACTAGGTTGCAAGCACACCCTCCCCTCCTGCGCCCCCCCTCCCCCCGCCCTATTTTCCTTTCACACCCACCTTCAGTCATTGATGCCACCTGCCTCTGCCCTAATGAGTTTGCAGCTCTGGAGCCTAAACTGTGCCAGTCTCACCTCTCTGATTATGCAGTAGGACTCCTGTAAGCCTCAGGTGGAGCAAAAAGGCCTGAGACCCTCCCTCCACTTGCCTACCCCAAATAAAAAATACCTGCACTCCGCATTAGGCTTCTAATCCCCTTTCTCTCTTTATGGGTTTTAAGTTGGGGGTGGGCCAGGTTTTTGAAATTCCTTTTGTAGAGGGCCCTTTGGGAATGGATGACCTTTAAATTAATGTCAGCTGAGTCCGAGGTGACTGGCACAGCCGTTTCCCCGGAAACAGTCTCCCAAAATGTGGGAGACGGTTATCAGTACCGATTTCTTATCTTTATCCACATGCTTGGAATGAGGAACAAATAGGACCTTGACTTACCCAGGTCTTGATATGCTAAATCCCAGGAATGAATAGGACCTGGGCACACCCAAAACTTCTTTGACCTTAAACCCCCCCTTTGGAAATAAATAAATGTGCTGTGTTGTCTGTGGTGGGTGGTTGACTGTCTCTCCATCAGAGTGACAGCCCCCCACCTGGATCCCAGCTTGAATCTATTTCTGTGTCTTGGTCTCTGTTTTGTTCTGTTTTTTCCCCTTCTTTAATTTCTTAATCCCCAGCTTCTCCACTCAGGAACCTGTCGTTTTCCGTGTGGGTGGCGGAAAACAGAGAAACAGCACCCCATACCTTGGAGACCAGGTGAGTTGTCATCCCATTCTGAGGTCACCAGGTGGTCTGGGTTAAAGGTCAGTGTTTTTTCTCTGCTGTTTGTTTGTTTTTGCCATCATTTGTTTGTTTTTACTTCTCTGGAACCTTAATGAGCCCTTGAGAAGACAAAGCGTTGAGATACTCGCATCTGCTGAAAAAGTACAAATGCCACGGCTACCCTTCAATGATCCCATCCATCAGTAAAGATGCCTTGTCATCACCGCTTTCCGAGTGGGGCTCCTGGGCCCTGCTCTTCACTCAGCAGAGGAGAGCTGGTTATGTGCCAGGCACTCTGCACCAACACCTCATTCAGCAAATGGTTCTTTGGCTCCTGCTTCCCCAGGCACTCCTTGATCTCAGTGGCTAATGGCAGAAACAGACAAGAAGTCACAGACGACTTACTTAACATGGTGGTGGGCCAGATTTTCGAAATTCCTGCTAGGACTGCTCTAGCCCGTTTGGGTCAATGGATAGAGCATTGGTCCTGGAAAAAGGTCCTGGGTTTGATTCCAGTCAAGGGCACATACCTTGGTTGCAGGCATGATCCCAGGCCCATCTCTCCCCCCTCCTTCCACTCTCTCTAAAGATCAATGGAAAAATATCCTTGGGTGAGGATTAACAAAAACAAAACAAAACAAAAAAGAATGACAGGGCTTCTGAGGATGCTCCTTCGACTGCCTGCCCTGGAATCCTAAGGTTAGAAATAGGGCAAACCCCCCAAGTCAGGGGTCCTTGTAGAACACAAAACATACTCAGGAGCCAGGCAGAGAGGCAAACATCTTTACTTCTGTGTAGAAGGGTGTACACACATGGTCTGCTTGGCACACACACACCAAGCAGGTGGTCTGCTCGGGTTTATAATCCCTGATGCTCGTGACCTGTCCTTTGCTCCTGATTGGAGCTCAGGCAAACAGTCTTTTGAGATTGGCTAATTCAAAGGGAGGGGTTGGCTTTTGCTGTATCGAGATGGTAGCCCCAGGAGAGCTGCAAGCCATGCAGCCAACATGGCGGCTGCCAAGTCATGCAGTCCAAAATGGCGGCTGTCTAAACTGTTCTTTGACTGAAAAAATGACTTGTGTATTCTCACACTAAGCACATCACTTAGCCCCTCTATGACTGGTTTTCTTCATCTGTGAAGTGGATGACATAACTACCTGCTGGGCTCCTTCATTTTAGCA